GTCTCGATTATGACAATAAATGTGTATGACAAGCGTCACGATTTTGATGCTCCAATCATCAATTTCCCTTTTTGCAGCAATATTTCGCATTCGCCAGAATAATAATAATATGGAGTTTATGTGTGTCAGATGCTTCTACCTAAGAAATGACCACGCTATTTTAAGAATTTATACAATCAGATCTGGATCGTATTTTGAACCAAATACAGCGCCATTCCTATTTAGTGTAATATTGAGCAGCAATGCCTTGTAGGATATATACTCTCCTACACACCGATCTTGATAAAAAGAATTCTGATTCTAGATTAGATAGGTAAATGACTATTAATATTGGCTTTATATAGCAACTACTTTACTCATTATGAATATGAAAGGACATTATTAAACACCTTAAGTGCGTCTTTCCCTGATGATAGAGGGCGACATGCGCTAAAGCCCTCACGACTGGAAACCATATTCCAATATTGTTTTTGGAATAAACTTGAAATAATCAAAACCTACGACACACACTCCAAAAATGAGATTATCTGTTAGAATTTAAGCAGGCCTTCAGATTATCTACAAACATGTTTGGATGTTGATAGGGATTACGTGACTAACAAACTAAAAACGCCATCAGATGATTAACCTGGTGGTTGGTGCTCCCAAATGTATAGGCCTAGTTTGGAACAAAAACTTCACCAAGAAAATGGAATAAACAGTCTGGAACTGCTAGGTGTTTTTTCTTCTGTTCTGATCTGAAATTAGATAAAATAATAACTCATCCAATGGCGAGAGGTTAGATTGCTATGAACAAAATTGCCATTTAAGTTCTGCTTTTTTGAATACGCGACAATCGTCTGATGAATGGTCGTCCAAGTTGAAATGATTATAAACAGGCTTGTACTTCTGTAATTTGATATCTGATCTGTTGGCAGTAAAACGAGTGAAAAAAATCATTTTAAAATTCTCCCTCATATTGTTTGTGACATTTCATACATGAAATTAAATAAATTAAATTCGAGGTTTCACATATCAGATGCTCTTGAATAGGATACCTTTTCTTAGTGGAATTACTCATGAAAAAGTGAGATTCTGATATAAAAGGACATGTTTTGCATGTTTCGTAAAAATCTCACGCTCTTTTACTTTCGAGAAAACAATCGTACAGGCTTGGTTAAAAAAGTTTGATCTTGTGCAATTTCGATGAAATCGTAAAACCTGTGACTTAATTATACCAGAAAAGGTATGCATACAACTGTTGTGAAATTTCTTATGCACCACGATTTTTAACCCTCGGAAAATTTCTTTCAATCAAATACTATGTTTATCACTGGTAAGGAATCCAGCTATATCCCTTGTTTAACATTGTCATGCATAGCTATCTCAATTTTCACTATGCTATGACTTTTGATTGTATCACATATTTATTATTGTCGATAAATCATGATGCAATCTCATCGTCAATCCTGACTGAACATGATTTAAAATAGACAGTGTAACATCATAAAGTGTAAACGTACATAAAAAGATGTTTGAGTAGGATTGCAAGAACACCTACACATTCTTAATTACCTATAAACACTCGGTATTTTCATGCCTTAACCAATACTGGTGAAGCTTTTGCTGAACTATTGACTATCAAATATATTCTCCGGCCAAATATTATTAACGAACAACCACCCATTTCCACTATTATAAACCAGTACTGATAACATTCTTAACAAACTGTAAACAATCAACCACTTCCCATTTTATGAACCAGTACTGATAACATTCTTAACAAACTGTAAACAATCAACCACTTCCCATTTTATGAACCAGTACTGATAACATTCTTAACAAACTGTAAACAATCAACCACTTCCCATTTTATGAACCAATACTGATAACATTATTAACAAATTGTAAACAATCAACCGCTTCCCATTTTATAAACCAGTACTGATAACATTCTTAACAAACTGTAAACAATCAACCACTTCCCATTTTATGAACCAGTACTGATAACATTCTTAACAAACTGTAAACAATCAACCACTTCCCATTTTATGAACCAGTACTGATAACATTCTTAACAAACTGTAAACAATCAACCACTTTCCATTTTATGAACCGATACTGATAACATTCTTAACAAACTGTAAACAATCAACCACTTCCCATTTTATGAACCAGTACTGATAACATTATTAACAAACTGTAAACAATCAACCACTTCCCATTTTATGAACCAATACTGGTAACATTCTTAACAAACTGTGAACAATCAACCACTTTCCATTTTATGAACCGATACTGATAACATTCTTAACAAACTGTGAACAATCAACCACTTTCCATTTTATGAACCAATACTGATAACATTCTTATCAAACTGTGAACAATCCAGTACTGATAACATTCTTAAAAAACTGCGAACAATCAACCACTTCCGATATTATGAACCAGTACTGATAACATTCTTAACAAACTGTAAACAATCAACCACTTCCCATTTTATGAACCAGTACTGATAACGTTCTTAAAAAACTGCGAACCATCAACCACTTCCGATATTATGAACCAGTACTGATAACATCCTTGACGAACTATGAACTATTAATCATTTCGGTTTATTATGGACCAGTACAGACTCGAAATTTCTTCTTGAGCTTCACCAATATCATTGATATTAAGTGTATGTATACAGTGTTGTGTTGCATTAAGCTTCTATATATGTGAATATTTAAATGTTCAAATGAGGTTCTGTATACGTTGTCAATATGGTGACTGGAGCTCTTACAATACAGCGTGTCACAATTTATTGTTTAAGGATTACCTGCATATATTTTAGAATATATAGGTCACCATGTCAACATAAAAAATAAACATGTCCACACCGGTTGACCTTCTTGATAATAAACACCTGGCTTACCTCTTAGAAATATTGTCTCTGATTCTAGGTAGGTGGCTGTTTAAATTCGGCGCAAGCCTTCATACAGGGCTACTTTGTGGTTGGCGAAATTGATGTTGCTGAAATGGGTAAAGCTTAGTGGTAGTAGCCGTTGTAGAATGAAGGTAAAATGGTGACTGCTGCCCTTCACTGTAAATATTTCACTTTTAATTCGGGAGGTGCAAAGAACAAAATGGATCGAGCATCAATCGCTCAAAGGTCATAATCTTGTGTAAAGGAGTCTTTAAAGTTCACACATTATCCAAGACGCTCGTGGTTGCTTTAAGGTCTGCTTTTATGCTTGCTCAACCGATCAAGGTTGATGCAGTTTTCCGACATGCGTCTGTCCCCCGTAAATCACCAAGATGCGTAATGGTTTTTTGGACAAGATTAAAGATTTGATTAATGTAATATTTTACAAAATAAACAATCAACTTGCACGAGTTAGATATTACTGCAGAACAAATTTAGGTCTCTGAAATTTTTATTTCCAAAATCTTGCAAGGTAGTAGGCTTTCTTTAGTTTGACCTTCAACCCTTATCAAATTCCATATTCAATGTCAGAATACCGGCTTATACGAAAAACTACTTTAAATTCTCAAGAAGTAGTGTTTCTTTACATTGCCTCTCAACAATTACAATGACATTGTATAAATTTATTTAATGTTATGTACTATGTCATAGTAATGCACTATATATCTCAGGGATTGCATATGGGAGCCGCGGTGGCTCAGTGAGTTAGACGCTTGCTCGCTAACCTGAAGGTCCAGGGTTCAATCCCGGTATAGGTCGAGATAATACCTTCGGATTTTTCAACCCGGTTTCCCCCTGTCAGTGATGCAGGTACGAAGGGCTGACATGGAAAAAGCGCCTAGTCGTTCGGATGGGACAATAAACCGAGGCCCCGTGTGCTACAGGCTGTGTACGTTAAAGATCCCTCGACAGTTGGAAATCGAAAAAGAGCAGGCTAATGCCGCTGTCCTGGCAAAAATTTCCTTCATTGCACCCTGCATGGCGTCGCCCGTCTTCATTAGCCCACATGGTGCAGTAGGACGTAAAACTAATATGATGAATGATAAATGTCGAATAGTATCATTTCATAACAACAAAGTGGCAACTGAAAATGAAAAAAAAAATGTCATGTTGGGGCAAATAAAGTTAGTTCAAATGAAGTCATGACCGATTCGACAAGATAAATAATATGAACATTCAATTTCAAGCTATCTAGGCTAATTAAATGTATGAAGACTTGTAATTAGATTTTTACCTAATCGTTAGCTTCTTAACTCTATCATGCCAGCTTGCTGTGCTTTAGTTTATTTTGTATTCGAACAACTAGACACATTCCAATCACAGATCCTGACAGTGCTAATAGGACAAAAGTTGGATGTTTCGATCGATTCTACACCCCAAAAAAAAACGCAAATGCAATGAGACACCCCGATCCTTATTTATTAATAGAAATGACCATCATGATAAGCTATACTAGTCTTCTGTTTATTCGGTGAAACTTCTATTCAGATTTTAAAAATAAAGATAGGGAATCGGATCGGAAAACCTTAAAATTAGGCTACAACACAGCCTTAGAAATACAAATGTTCATAGAAAGTAAAAATGTAATAAACATTATCCTATATTGACGTACAAACCTGACAAGAATATTAATTTTCATATAAAATATGGTGGTTAGTAACGGCTACTTTTGATACAGAATATCTAAAATTTAAACAGTATACCAACCATAGCCCCTTTTGGCCTTGTGTGTCTAATATAAGCCTATATTGGACAAAATGGCTAGATGTCAAAATATTCCTCAATTCAAACAAATTCTAAGAAGATTGAAGGCCGGGAAATCGGTTGTTGTTTCTGCATTAATGATTTTGATGTGAAATGGCCTTTAGGAGCCACCATACAAAACTTTCTCAAATATATAAATGCCTTGAAAAGGTATGAACGTAGTCGACGTAGTTCAGTGGCGTAAAGCAAGGTTCTGCCCTTTCACCCACAAGGTTAACGTTGTCAACTGATAAACTAATGATACGGATAATGAAAAATATTTCTATCGTGTTTCAAGCAGCCTATCAAGATGAAATTCGACGAGATAATTGAAATTTTAGGAGAATTTGGAACTTACCAGAAAAGGATATATTATCTGCTATGTTTGCCAACCATATCATGTGCAATTCAGATGCTTATACCGGTCTTTATACTTAATGTTCCTAATCATAGGTTAGTGATTACTAGTACTTCTTGTCATAAAGGCTTTTATATATCACATTTTAATGCCGAACCGAGAAATTAAAGGAACAGAATCGCCATCCGATTGACCAAGTCTCAAATTTTTTTTGCTAAGCTTATAGTGTTCACGGTTCACAGTCGAAATTTAGCTTCCAAATCTATGTGTGTTCGGAATTATTCACGTTTGAAAGTTGAAACGACGATTCGTCTTTTATTTTTAAATACAAAATGAAATTCCTCGTTTTTTGTGAAGGAATTGTCCGATTTCTGTTCATTTCTAGTTCTACTGCAGACTATTTACATATATTCAAGACCGAAATCAACCCCGGAAAATAACGAATCTGTCATTTAAAAGTGGAATATATATATGTAAGTTGTTATATCGGTCTCTGAGTTTGACTGTGTCGGATACAGATTTGTAACTAGACCCCTCTTTTACTGGTCTATACACTCCGTAAGTATTATAGAAGACCATATAGGCGAACAAAAGTGTGTAATGCATAAGTCATTGACTTCCTGAAATGTAAGATAACTGTGAAAGATGAATAAACTGTGCACAGAACACCACATTGGAACTCTTTGTTGAACCTTTACAAGAGGTATCGCAAGGTGGTGACCACCATTTTGGATATATGAAGTTGTGTTAATCAGAACATGAATTTAACTAGTGTTTTTGTCCTTCTGTTCTGCATTTAAAAAGAACCTCACTTAAATACAAAACACTAAAATGGCGATTCAGTGCATCTCATTTGGCCCTAGCAGATTCAGTCAGGCAGTGGCTAAACTAGATCAGTGGAGTTTTTTTAAAGTTTAATTTTTTTTAAAACATATGCCTTCTGCATTCTGCGAACCTCATTTTATAAAATAAGCTCCAACATAAGTTGTAAACCATTTTATATTATGTGTTAACCTTTTAGATACTTACTTTTTTTCTGGAGGTGGAACCCATGGACTTGGTCCAACCATCCCTGTGGTAGTTGAGCCACTGAAGTCAGGTCGATGACCAGAATGCAATTTTCCCTTTAAAGTAAACATGAGTAAATGATGGCAATTGGTGGCGATTTTTTTTTTATCAGGTCGACTAAATATCACATTTTCTCAGATTCATCGTACAATTATTGACCCGATTCTCCCCTAGATGACAAAGTGTAGTTCAGTACAGTTCAATTACTTCCTGCTCTATAGAATATCAACATTGATGTTGATAAAATAAGTTATTAACCATTTATCATTATTTGATAACTTGTCAGATATGATCAAATATAATCAAATGATTATTTTCCGATCGTGTCAAAGAAAATTGTTGTCTTGTTGGCAGATGATAATGCGCCAAGACTTTTTCCGGAAACCATGAGATTATATAATGATAAGTCAAACTTTATATTTCATTTTATTTGTTTGATTTTTTGACCATTATATACAATCGTAAACCCATTACGAAACCAGTTGCAATGGTGATTTCGGGCAAATCAGAATAGTAATTTTTACATTTTCAGATGTCAACTACCGAGTGTATTTAATGATACTTCGTATTTTCCCCAGACCAATCGGCTGTCTTTTTATGTCAACCATTCCATACCATTAGATAAGAATGGTGAATGGGAGAAGTGTGACAGATATGATGTCAATCTCACCTCCTACACTAAAGAGTCAGCAGTCGATGTTAACGCTACCAGATCAGACTGTAGTAAATGGGTGTACGATACCACTACATTCGTCGATACTTTTATCACAGAGGTAAACTTGTTATCTAACAATATCTCCTATACAAACAATCCAATAATGTCATGGCCGTAAATGCATCCCATGTTAAAATGAGGCAAAGGGTGTCTTGGCGGATTGAAACCTCGAAAAATTGGACGTCGTTTGCCTAATGGCGTAGGCGTTAGCCTCCTGGGGGTACAATTAGGGGACAGACTGACCCAATGATAACTGTCAAGATTGAGATTCAAAATGCGGCAGCGTCATATGCACGAGGATTTCTCAAGAAAATGTTTGTCAAATAAAATGGTTTTGGTGCATTTATTATACACATTTTGTGGCTTACAAGGGATCTGCTAGACAAAGTGAATAACCTACATACTATAAATCTTATATACTTCAGCAAAATATGATCTGTGCGGATTCTATCTATCGTTCCCATGCAAACATGATTTTAATGGCTGGTTTGCTCGTTGGTGCTTTTGGTTTCGGCATTTTATCTGATATGTAAGTATTGAAAGAGAGCTTAAAGTAACAAATGTAAACAGTAGCTTAAATAATAGGGATATGAAGAACCAATAAATTACTGTAAGTGTAAAAGTTTCAAAAAGGTACCATATTGCACAACTTCACTTTGTTTCGATATTGATAAAACTTGCTAGGTATAAACATATACACATAGAATGAAAATCAAGTCATTACCCCGTGATATCACCCCCTTATCTCAACACAACTAGTTGTCAATTTTCATTCTGAAAAGTGGTACAAATAGCTAGAATTGAACTGGGAAAGCAATAGTTTAGACGACTGGACGCATTATTCTTTCATATTTTGAGTTTTTTGTGTTTGTATTGTTAACGACCAAACATTATTTTCTTATTTTTAGAATTGGTAGAAAGAAAGCGTTGTTATGTTCTGTATTGCTTCATATTGGTGGATCTATAGCAACATCATTCGCTCCCAATTATACAGCCTTTGTGACCATCAGATTCATAACCGGGGCTTCCAATGCTGGTTCATTTATGTCAGCCTTTGTTTTGGGTGAGTACACATTTTTAACTTTCGAATAGTTGACGAGCTCTTGTTATCTGGTGCGTCGTTGTAGGATGCTCATTGTATATTATGGGTGTGGTTTGGAGTGCAAGTTTGTGAAAAAAAAAGCATGGGAACAGATACGAAACCCTTTCCATACGGACAAAGCATACCTTAAACTAGTTTGATTTGAGGGTATTTATTATTTAGAGTCGTAACTGATGATCACCATCATGGAAAAGTAACATACTCAGCATTTCCTTATGTTATATATGTAACCGAGTGAAGTTACATTAATAAAAAACACAATACAAAAGTCGTCGAATCTTTAATAATACAGTGCATCTTATTGACACTCAAAAACAGTCCAGCAGTGCTGTCGCCTGTTCGCCATCAATATCGCCTCGTTCTCGCCTCTTCCACGCGCTCACCGAAACCAGTTAAGCAAACCGATTTCGGATCGACTATATCTATGAACAGTTAAAAGGAGAGAACTATAATCAGACCACTGTGCTCAAAGTGACCATTGCAATGTACGTTGCCATACTCTCACACTCGCGAAGATTTTGTAGCCTATGAAGATTAGAATGTTCGCCTTTTGTTGATCTAGAAGATCTACGAATTGGTACAATATCGTCTTCATCAGCCACATGATGTTCTAATTCACCATGACGTTGGACGTCGCTCTCATTGATATGGGTTGAATCCAGATGTGTTGAAAAGTCATCCCCATCTTCTCGACTATGATCTTCCATCATACATGGATCAAGTTCCTCAGGGCTAGTCTGGCTATCCAAACTATCCTCATGAGAAATGATTGCTTATTTTGGGGGTCGTTACCATCGGCATCTGAATCATTCTCAATAATGGAATCATGACTGACCTGGCTGCTATCAACCTGGTCATCCACTGATAAGGACGGACATGGACGTAATTCAGATCGATGTAATGTCTTTTGAACTTCCGGGTTATCTATAAGACAGACAATATAAACATGATTATCCTCCGTAATGCGTTTAACAACTCTGTAAACCAAAAGTGACCAATGATCGTGTATTTTATCTCGTCCAATTATACCACGAGCCCTGGTAAAAACAAGTTGACCTATCTCTAGTGGATGATCTGCGTACTTTCTTGCAACGTTGGTTCCGACTATTAGCAGAATGATTAAGTTGTTTAAACGCCTCGGTATATGCGTTCTTTAGGCGCTTTTGATGGTCTGATATCCAATCATCACCCGAAGGTAAATCATTGCCTAATAATACGTCTACTGGCAAAACTGGGTTACGTCCGAACATAAGAAAATAAGGTGTAAATCTGGAAGACGAATGAGGTGATGTGTTATAGGCGAAAGTTAATTCTTGTAAATGGTTTGGCCAGAGCTTTTTCGCATGTTCCGGTAAAGTACGCAAAAGGCAATGGAGTGTTCGATTAAATCGTTCTGTTTGACCATTCCCCTGTGGGTGGTATGGAGTCGTGCGTGTTTTCTTAATACCATATAGTTCACAGAGATTAGCAATGACTTTAGATTCAAAATTACGCCCTTGGTCGGAATGTATACGTCGAGGAACTCCGTAGCGACAGAACCATTCCTTGACCAGCACTTTAGCCGTTGTAACAGCTGTTTGGTCCTTCGTAGCTACCGCGATAGTATATTTAGAGAAAACATCAGTGATCACAAGCACATTCTCCACTCTGTTCGAAGCTGGTTCCAATAAGGTAAAGTCAATGGCTACAATTTCAAGAGGTGCCTTGGCTAACAGGTTTTCATAGCTGGATGAGGTTTTGGAATGCATGGTTTAGCAATAACACATCACGGACAATTTTCACATTTCGCTTCGACATCACGCCACATGCCGGGCCAAAAACATCTTGATCGAACTAATTCAAAGGTTCTCTCGATACCCTGGTGACCCGCGTTGTCATGAAGCTTCTCCAGAACAATTGGTTTAATTGATTCTGGTAAAATAAGTTGATGGTTCTCATCTTTGCATGCGTTTATAAGTTTCCTATATAGTACACCACTTTTCAGAAAAATTTTACTGCGTTGTCGTAATAATGTCAATACTGGCTTCGATAGTTGTTTTCTTTCTTTTCTGGAGGGAAAAGATTCAGATTCCCAATAAGTGCGAAATGTATGTATCGTTGGGTCTGAATTTTGTAGTGTGATCAATTGTTCAGCTGATTATGTAGGCAACATAGAAATAAGGTTGTTATAAACCGTCGCATTCGGAGGATCGGACAAAATGCTCCCACATACTGTAGAGCGTTAGATAGCTGGAAGCTGGGTTGATTTTGTTATTTCTTGAATTTTGGAATCGATTGTAATAATGCCTCTATTAACTTCAACATTTGTGGGCATTCTCGATAATCCATCAGCGTTATTATTTGACTTGCCGGCTTTGAATTTTAATTCGAAATCAAATACCGCCAGGTCTGAAATCTAACGTTGTTCGACGGCACTTAATTTAGCTTTAAGTGAATGACAAAGCGGATTATTATCTGAGTATACAATACATTTTTGTCCTAACAAATAGTCACGGAATTTTTCACATTGCGCCCATTTCAAGCCTCAAAGTTCCAGTTTTCTGGAGCTATAATTTTCCATATTACGCTCAGCACCACGTAAAGCACGACTGGCATAACTAATAACGCGCATTTCGTTATTCTGATACTGGGAGTACTGCACCGAGACCCTGGAAACTAGCGTCAACTTCCACTATAAAAGGCTGAGAAAAGTCTGCGTAACCCAATATTGGAGCACTCGTCAACCGCTTTATTATTTCTCCAAATGCGATACTACAATCTGCCGTCCATAGAGCTGTCAAATCTTGATTCTTACCACTAACATCTAAGCTCTTCAGTATAGCATGCAAAGGTGCTGTCACCCTAGCATAATTCTGAACGTATCTACGGTAAAACCCACAGAACCCAAGGAAAGTTCGCAACTGTTTTGCCGTGGTAGGCTTTGGCCAATTTATAACTGATGATATTTTATCAGGATCTGTAGAAACTCAGCTGGATGAGACCACGTGTCCCAAAAACTTAACTTGATTTTGCAGCAGGTAACATTTAGATGGTTTGAGTTTAAGATTATGACGAGCTAAAGTTGTGAAAACTGAGTCCAGTCGCTCCAAATGTTCTGAAAACGATCTGGCAAATATTATAATGTCATCCAAATAAACTAATAAAATTCGAAAAATGTCATCACGAAAACAGCCTTGCATCAACCTTTGGAATGTAGCTGGCCCATTGCACACTCCAAATGGCATACGCTTGTATTCAAATAGTCCGAAAGGTGTGGTGAAAGCAGTTTTATGTTGGTCACGTTCATCCATAGCTATTTGGTTGTAACCACTAGATAAATCAAGTGAGCTGAATATTGATGAACCATACATCGAGTCGAGGCTTTCCTCTACCCGAGGTAAGGGACATGAATCGCGTTTGGTTTTTAAATTCAATCGGCGGAAATCCACACACATTCGTAGATCACCATTCTTTTTACGAGCTAAAACTATTGGGCTTGCAAAGGCACTATAGCTAGGCACAACTATATTAGCCTCTATCAGTTTATTAATATGTTGACGAACTTCCTCTAAATAAGCTGGAGGTATACGTCGAAAAGGTTGTTTGATTGAACTATTATCTGTCAATTCGATACTGTGTTTCACCGCTGATGTGTATCCTATGTCCATATCTGACTTGCTGAATATTTCAGAATGCTTTCGCAAGAGAGAATTTATTTCGTACCTCTGTTTCGCATCCAGGCTATCCGGAATGGAAACGGCTGGTAACGTGGTATTATCGTCAACATTATTTACAGAAGCTGACTGTTCAAATAGTTGGTTTTCTTCCACCAGGACTTCTCGATCAGCAACTGAGAATTTCACATTGTCTAAATCAATGTCAGCCTTGCAGATGTGAGCTAACCGTGTTCTAGGTTGGAGCCACAGGTCCGACTTTGTTATATTGGCTACCTGAACATGAAATTTTCCATTATTATGGACACCAAAAGTGTTACAAATGCTGATACCATTTGGTAAATGAGTCCTATTGCTCAGCTCTTCCAATAGAACTGCACCAGATAATTGTGTGTGGCCAGATACGGGAACTACTGACACACTGGATGCTGGTAATAAAACTGGACTGGATCCAATAACTCTGGCAAATCCTGACAACTTCTCGTTTCGCACTGTTGTGTTCTGAACAGATAGTATCCGTCTTACAATTAACTCATCTGAATCCTTCGACTTTCCAACAGGTTGGCAGTCAGACAATACTGACCAACAGTGACGCAGAACCTTCATCCCTAAAATCCCAGGGAAATCTTTATAATTGTCTGGAGTAGTATGGTCCGCCGGATCTTTAATTACAAGAATACTTTGACTACCGATATTCCTGCCAGCCACCTCCATAATAACCTGAAATATACCAATGTAGGGAATTTCCACTCCATTTGCTGCTCTTAATGTTAAGAAGTCTATATTTGCTAAGTTGACTAAACACCCGAAATAATTCCGAAAACACGATTCAGTCAATGTTGAAACCTGGGATCCTGTGTCAATTACAAATTTCAGGGGAATCCCAGCTAGATTTAGCTCTACCCAAGGACAGTCACCCACGGTATCGTGTATCGAAAGAGTTGGTGTTGAGCCTATTTGGTCACAAAAACCCCTTCCTTGGCCCGCAGAAAAGGGTATTATTTGTTTTCCGATTTCGTAAAACGCTTAGGACAATTCCTCCTAAAATGACCGGGCTCGTTGCACAAAGTCTAGGTGGAGGTGTCTGTTTTTCAGAGATAAGCTTCTGTAGGTGTGCCAGTTGCTCTTGTTGTGCTTTAACCATAGTACGTAGAGTTTCGATTTCGGTAATTGCAAATGTTTCTGAAGTTGAAATCTGTTGTGTTCGGGCTGAATTTGAAGACTCCTTTAAGTTATTTGTTTTGGCATCTTCATCTGACCATTCTAGAGCGAATTCGCGAATCCCTAAAAATGTCATCTCTTCATTTTCTCTCACCTGCCGTTTAAGTTCTCGTCTTAAATTTTCGTCATAAACACCATCTACAAAATGATCTCTTAGCGTGGCATCCTGATCATTGAGCGAGGTCCGTGATTTCCTAATGATTCTATCCATGAACTTCCCCAAGGCATAAGAGTAACAGCGTAATGTTTCATCCTTTCGTTACCTTCGTTCGAAAAATTGTTTCTGCAGCTGGGATAGGGAATATGTATCACCGAAAGCCTCTCGTAGGGCTCCAAACATCAGACGCCAATTTCCTTTAACATTTCTGATTTTCACCTCCTCCCGTGCATGACCTTCCAAATATCTATACACATACCTTGACTTCTCATCGTCACTTAGTTGAAGAGTGGACATACAGTTGGTAATCTCTTCGATCCATTCATGGACTGTAGATTGCTCAGCCAAATCAGGTCTCCCCCTAAAGTTAGACGGTTCTTGTTCTTTGCCCAGAACGACTATTGATTTTTGAGACATAGAAGATAACTCCGATGACCCCCGATCAGGGTATCTCGTTTCAGGAGAATGCTGCACACCACGATTAACTGTGGAAGGCATGCTATTAGTGCGAAGAGATGGAGGATCAGCGAACCGGGGAGTTGACATTTTGTGGGCATTGAGAGTTGACAATTCGTTTTCCAACCGTTCGATTTCCATAAGATATAGCTCTGTTCCAAATCACAATTTTTCGCGGCCATTTTTAAATTTAATATGTCACTGTAAAGTTTGCTTAATGCTTATCATCCCGATCTACAGCAATCCTCAATTTAACAGTCGAATAGCAAGAAACTAAAATATCACTTTGCAAGTGTCGTAACCAGGCTTTAGATAAAGTAACTACCGGATGTACCCCGTCTTTTAGCAAATTGAAATTCCACACATAACGATTTGGTTTCCCTTTACGCTTACGTCCGCGTACCAAGTCGTTTGAAAACCCCAAAGTCGGTTAACTTAGTGAATGATTAATAAGTTTAATTTCACCATTTAAAAATCGTACATACCCGTCCACAATTTTATCGTCCGCTAAGAATTCGTCCGGATTAGGGTGTCCCTTCTATGCGTTGAATCCACTAACCGAAATAGGAGGCAACTCAATAAATTTAACCCGACATCCGCTCTTGCTATCAAGTGCAGAAGTCACTCGCCTATATTGTTGAATGACTCCCTCAACTGGTCTAAATGACTTCTCCACTGCGTGTATGAATTTTCCCCTTTTATCAGTCAGATCGCACGTACCTAACCAAACATACACAGTCAAATTCCCCAAACTTTTCAAATTGTCTTGATAGGAACAAGTCCACTGCTCTTTGAGTTGTAAACCTTGAATGACAGTCAAAACGTATTCTCACTCCCTCGCTACTGGGTTCAAATTCTGTCTTCAAGTATAAGCCTTTACTGTCTGATAACAATATGGGGACAGTTTCTAGTTTTCCACACTTAGCGGGCAATGGTTTGGCGATAGACCTTTGGAGTTTAGATAGACTCATCCAAAACAAAAACACACATACAATAATAAAAATGTTGTTATAAAAAAAACAGTTTATTTGGTTTACACAAAAAGTACGACCCGATGACGTCACACAAATACCACGAAGAAAAGTCAAAATATAAAAATGGAAAGTTCTCACCAAGTATCACTAAGGCTTAATCCTATCGGCGACGCCAAAATGTAAGCGAGTGAAGTTACATTAATAAAAAACACAATACAAAAGTCGTCGAATCTTTAATAATACAGTGCATCTTATTGACAGTCAAAAACAGTCCAGCAGTGCTGTCGCCTGTTCGCCATCAATATCGCCTCGTTCTCGCCTCTTCCACGTGCTAACTAAACCAGTTAAGCAAACCGATTTCGGATCGACTATATCTACGAAAAGTTAAAGGGAGAGAACTATTATCAGACCACTGTGTTCAAAGGGACCATTGCAATGTACGTTGCCATACTCTCACATATACATAACATTTGATATTTTCATTTTTTTAGGCGTGGAGATGGTTGGCCCATCTAAAAGAACATTTGCTGGAATAGTTATAGAAATGTTTTGGTGCATTGGATTATTTATACTCAGTATGGTGGCGTTCTTAGTTAGAGATTGGAGTACTTTACAACTGTCATTATCAGTTCCATCGACACTTTTACTTATTATGTTCTGGTAAGTATATTGGCGGTATTTATATACTTATCTCTGTCAATGTACATTGTCGCTACCAATGCATCTTCCCATTCATTCGTTCATTCACACTGGGTCGTGAACACAATCTAGATTTTAACGGATGAAATTTAGGCACCTTCAGAAATGTGTGCATGGGGAATAGAAAGTTTCTCGTGTCCGCAACCAAACTCCACTTTGCTCTTGTTATAACAAGCATCCATTATCTTCTATTTAGGTTTGTTCCCGAATCTCCAAGATGGTTAGTTTCAAAGAACAGAACTGAAGAAGCTGAAAAAATCTTACGAAAGGCAGCTAAAGTGAATAAAGTTGAACTACCTGTGAAGCTGTTTGACAAAGATACACTCGATGATGGACCACAAGCTAAAGTATGGGAAATGTTTACATCACCAATTCTACTAATAAGATCCCTGATTATTTTCTTTAATTGGTAAGAAGCTTCAAATTCATTATGATGCTGCTGGTTTGAGTGGATTGTAAGTATTGGTCTGTTCAGTGACTAGAAAAACAATAATTAGAGCGATTTGAACGGAAGTTACTCGCCTGTGTGAGGATGTGTGTGTGTATCATGGTATCTTTAATCGATTATTTTCATATTACTACTTTTTTCCATCTACAGGATGGTTGTAAGTATGGTATATTATGGATTAGGTTTAAATGTGAGCAACTTAGGTGGAGATATTTACGTTAATTTTACTATCGCCAACATTGTGGAGCTTGTTGCCTACTTCCTGTGTTTGTTGCTGTTAGATAGAATGGGAAGGAAAGCTTTACATTGTACCAGTATGTTATTAGGTGGTATAGCTTGTCTCTGTACCATATTTCCGGTGATTTATGGCAACTCCTGTGAGTATTCCTTTCTTATAGTACACCTGCTCGAAAATTTCTTGCTGTGGTACTGCGGTAACTCAAGTCAGACGTTCGCCTACCTATCTCGTAATACTCGTAATGTAAAGTAGAATTATCTGCATCGGGAACGAAGTAAAATGAACTGCGACATGATGTTAAAAACAAAATATTATATAACCTCTACATTTGATTTCAGCCCATGAATGGATAACCATTACTCTGTCAATGGTCGGCAAACTTGGTGCCTCTGCTGGTTTTGCTGTTATTTATGTGTTTTCTGCGGAATTGTTTCCCACCGTTGTAAGGAACTCTGCGATGGGTGTCAGTTCTTTCTGTGCTCGTATAGGTGGAATGGTATCACCATATATTGCTGATTTGGTAAATATGGTTTTTTAGCCAAAAGCAAAGTGTTACATTATTTTGCAATTTGTTTCTCATAATGAATGTTCAATATTCATTCTTTGTATAATGCCAGTCCTATATTTTGTTTCACGCGATAAATAATTTATTTCATAATATATACTAAGTTTGATAACGTCAAATTGCTGATAAAATTCACTGTGGTAAAGTCTCATTCCCAAAGCAATGCTTTTTGAAAATATTTTTAGTTACAAGATTCAACCCAAAGTAATGGGTGATATCGGAAACATTCTCACGTATTTATAGCATAAGTTGAAATAACTAGGGACTGGCTGTAAGCCGTGCTACAGGAGGAAATTCTCCACAAAATATCATCATAGGCATAAGTTTTGTTTTGTTTTTAGTTTAATTGGCAACCAGTTTCCCAGAATCTGCGTTTAATTCGACCATTTTTCTTTCAGGGCGCACTAGTTAAAGGTGATTTTGGTACAGCGTTACCGCTATTAGTGTTTGGTGGTGTATCTGTAGCAGCTGGTTTACTATCACTCTATTTACCAGAAACATTGGATAAAAATCTCCCGGAATCCATAGAAGATGCAAAATATTTTGGCAGGTGAGACTTTATTATGTTATGTTATTGATACTAGATAATTTTACCATGTCAATAATTAGTTTAGATAGACATAAACTAATATAGATCGAAATCCTGGTTACATCCAGTTTTTGTTTTCAAATAAGCTTCAGTAACTTCCTAAATTTCTAATTTAAGATTTGTTTTTCCATTGTTGTCCTGTCGTTCAGTCAGTTTGACTAGTCTGGGAATAACCGGTTGTGGAGTATGGTACAAATTGTCGATGCAGAAGAATATGGCTTGATCTTCGATTTTACTGTATTAACAGTATAACACCCCCGCGTCGTACACCGCATCACTACATCGTATACCGAGTCTATTCGTACTTACATACGAAACTCTTTTTGTCCAATAACCATTGAATATATTTAAATAATCGTTTTATTACAGAAAAAATAAGAAGAGTAAATACCATATTGATACAATGAAAGAAAATATCAAGGAAGGAAAATATGAAATGAAATCAGAACACGGCAAATATTAGATAACATGACACTATATCACAAGTTAATTTTCACAATTCTTTTTAAAAATAGTTTTTTTTTATATAATATACGGGGGTTCATTTTGGACATCTAGCATTATTTGAATTTAATTGAACATTTATGACGATTACTAATTCTAAAAAGCATAGTTGTTAATTATCATTATAATCATGACATAATATCTTACCTCTAACTTGGGTGAGTTTTTAAGACTGAAAATGCATGTGGCATAAACAACTTGATTATATACATTGGAAGCGCATCAAGTGTATGTTCAGTCAAAGAATATCTTTTAAAGTCCAAATACGAAACAGTTTGGTAAGTATCGGGTGTAAATTAATTGAAGCAAAATCACGTTTGAAAGGGATTCGATCGTTTCTCTGAAAATTTCATGAGATTTTCATTATTAGATTTATTGGCTTTCGGTGCTGAAATGTATATAAAATCTAAAGCTTATAATAAATATGTTACAATATATAGTTTAGTATAATTGATATAAAAACACACTTGAAAAAGATACTGTCGTAAATCGAGGGAGATTCGCAATTTTAATCTTAAACGGTTGCAACGGCGGGAGCAGCGTTAGCAACACTACTGTATCCGGCTGCAGCAACTGCAACCTTTGGTGCCACCACCTTAATAGTTACTGCAACAAATGCAACCACTGCAACAACACCAGCTGTTGTACCGACTGCTATAGCAGTGGTAGTATCTGCCTCATCATCGGCTGAAATGCAACAAAGTTTTATTATGCTAATACTTATATGAATAGAAAGTAGATGTGTTTTAATGACTTGGAAAAATACCAGTTTGTCTCACATGTCCAGAATAACCAACAGGATTCCAATGAGTGATCGGTATGTGATATATAGTGCACAAGACAATGTCAACATATTTTGAAATCAGTAGAAAAGCTTGCAATGTGAGCACTTTTTCATTCCAATAGCGTTCACGACTTCACGAGGCGAAATGCAAGAAAGGCATTTTTAGCTTAATTTCTAACCCGAATAAAGTGATTATTAATGAATGAATATAGATGGCCGAACGTATCAAAAGTACAGAGAAAACAGATTCATTGATTGGGACGTGTGATGAAAGATATGTTTATCTACCTGCGAACACAAATGGTCCTTCATATATTGAAATAGGCTTATCATCATTGTCTGTAGAACGTCGTTTTCTGTACCCGGAGCAACGTCTGGTACATCTGTACGAGTTATCATCTTCAGTGCAGATGAAAACTCGACATACAATATCAATTTCGCCCTTCTCTTTTATAAACTCAAACGTTTTGAAGCCGAATGTTGTATTATAGATAACTGTTGTGGAGTCAACAGAACATCTGAAAGTGAAATTATAAACCTATCTTGACACAGCTTCAAATATTAAACATTTTCAATCTCTTCTCGAAATTTCAAGATGAACTTTAATTCTTGTGTTTCATAATTCATTCTCTTCATTCATCCAGAAAAATACCTTTGATCTTTGGAATAAACACACTTAAATTAATTTAAAGAAATTTGAAATTGAACAACCATTAGAACTGGAAAATTTTCCCAGTAAATTAAAATTTCCCTATAGTAATCTTTTCATCTTTACATCAACCAAAAGACAATTTAAGACTATTAAGTACTAATTTAGAGTTGATATTTCACTTCATTTGACATTGATTGACAAAAGTGTATAAAGAATAAATATTAATATTATGTAATTTATTTCTATCCAAAAACTACTCACCTATTTTTTATCAGATAGTATATATCAGATGATGAACTACTATTTGGTTTAGCATAACATTCTTCAATAACTGGTTTCAGGTTGTAATCGTTTGTTACTTGGACGTGTCCATACAGACTGTCCTTCACCATACGCCTCTCTTTCCATTTTACATTGTACCAAGTAACTACCACCATCTCTAGTGATGACCGAATCATCCATAACATAAATAGTATTACTATAGATGATCTTATCCCAGGTCTCCTGAAATATAGCATTTACTTTTATTTTGTTGTTTGTAGAGTATGTTGTGAATGTTGAGCAGCTAAGATGGGCGTGGAGCCAGGCAGGGTATGCTTACTCTTCTAGACACCTCATACTACCTTTCATTATGAAATACTTGCTCACTTAGAATCGATATACTTCTTCATTACTAATGTTTGCTAGTGCAGATTTCGGGTTTCGTTATGCGGTTTAGATAGTTAGTACTTGGTTTATTTATTGTACTAAGTTTAATCTTTTCATATCATTCTGTACATCGGAAACTGCCAAAATACAAATTCTGGCGTATTTCGATGTACTCTGACTTCGCCCTCATTCATTGACATTACATAACAATATTTTTGCATCATTACGGATTCAGAATGTAAAATATTGAATTGTAAAAGATTGAATTGTAAAAGATTGAAATGTAAAATATTGAAATGTAAGATATTGAATTGTAAAAGATTGAAATGTAAAATATTGAATTGTAAAAGATTGAAATGTAAAAGATTAAAATGTAAAATATTAAAATGTAAAAGATAGAAATGTAAAATATTGAAATGTAAAAGATTGAAATGTAAAATATTGAAATGTAAAAGATTAAAATGTAAAATATTAAAATGTAAAAGATAGAAATGTAAAATATTGAAATGTAAAAGATTGAAATGTAAAAGATTAAAATGTTAAAGATTGAAATGTAAAAGATTGAAATGTAAGATATTAAAATGTTAAAGATTGAAATGTAAGATATTGAATTGTAAAAGATTGAAATGTAAGATATTAAAATGTAAAATATTAAAATGTAAAATATTGAAATGTAAAATATTGAAATGTAAAAGATAGAAATGTAAAATATTAAAATGTAAAAGATAGAAATGTAAAATATTGAAATGTAAAAGATAGAAATGTAAAATATTAAAATGTAAAAGATAGAAATGTAAAATATTAAAATGTAAAAGATAGAAATGTAAAATATTAAAATGTAAAAGATAGAAATGTAAAATATTGAAATGTAAAAGATTAAAATGTTAAAGATTGAAATGTAAAATATTGAAATGTAAAAGATTGAAATGTAAAAGATTGAAATGTAAAAGATTGAAATGTAAAAGATTAAAATGTAAAAGATTAAAATGTAAAAGATTGAAATGTAAAATATTGAAATGTAAAAGATTGAAATGTAAAAGATTGAAATGTAAAAGATTAAAATGTAAAAAGATTGAAATGTAAAAGATTGAAATGCAAAATATTGAATTGTAAAATATTGAATTGTAAAATATTGAAAATACTTTTGAAGTGCCAAAATAAAGTACAGACTGTCAAAAGGTCGAAAAATGAAAAAGCGGGATCAAACTTTAAAAAGAAAACAGGTGACTCATGGAGTCTGTTAATAAATCTGTCGGATCATAAACACTTTCAGTGATTAAATTCCATGTTTGTTCCTGAGGTCACGACAATATAATCTACTTACTTTTCTAGTGGATCCACAACTTCTTAAGTTATAGTGACCGAATGAAAAGTAGTCATTATATGAATACACACGACAATATCCAAAATACATGTATATGGAACTGACATTTGGATGGTGTTGCCGGAATAGTTCCATATCCACTTCGATATCAAAATATCCATTTTCACACGATACCTGTACAATATTTTCTTGAAAATAGAATAATAAAACTTTAAAGATTAGATTAATACGATTAAAAAGGGGTCTATCAAACCTTTCCCGAATAGTTCAGGTCATCAAGCAATTCAACCTGAACACGTTATGCTTTTTTGACAGAATTTTATTAATATATGAAATAGAACAACGTAAAAGTTATAAAAAATAACGTAAATCGATGTAGTTCGATGTAATTGCATTGATTGAACTGCTATATCCCCGGTTCCCAACTTCTAGTGTTTTTCACCTCCTGGGGGTGTGGGACTATGGTGTCAGGGGTGTGGTCATCTGGAGTAGGAGAATAATTTGTTTTGAATTGAGAGAGCACTTCACATCAATACATGCTGAAAATGTGGATGAAACAAATTTTTGGGAGTGTGAAAGGTCCAGGTAATTGCTCATGGGGTTTGAAGGCTGAGAAAAGTTGGGAACCACTGTGCTAGATCTTCAAAACAAGTTTGTTTACAGAAATCGACATGGTTTTACATGTTGTCACGAACCACCCACCAATCCTATACCTTTTAAATAAAAATCTATTTTGAATTGTCTTACACTTTTCGTCAGTTTTCTTTTTGTTACTCAAAATCTTTTCAGACTAATAAACAAGAATTCGATTCTACCATAAACACTATGCTATTTTATACATATAATATACGCTTTACATATCGGACAATAAGAACATACAAATTGAAAATTATGAATCAAAGGTTACATAGAGTATTTTTTTTATTATTGAAGTCTATTTCATTTTTAAAATAAAAGTCGTATGTAAATATTGCTATGATAGCAAAATGAACAGGTCATTTGAAAACATTAAACCACGCATCCAACGATTTTCTCGAATTCAACTCTCATAAGAAACTGATTGACGTTAAAAAATATTTGTAGGCCTATCATCAAAGAAATACATGGTAACGATAAAGCTTGACTATATTCGAATGTTTTCAGTTTTTGATGAACAAATAGAATGATGACTATTATTAAGAGATCAGAATGGGAGATTTTAGAATTTACATCCAGGAAATGAGTGGAAAAAAGTGTAAATTATAAAATTTTATTTTCGTATACAGGCTACCATATATTTCACAGTGAGATGACGAGAGAATTATGTCACCACTGTTAAAGATTGGCAGCTTTATACTCTATCATAACAAAATAACAATTTAAACACTTACCAGTTAATCCAGATGATGTTGTCTGATAATTATTAAATCCTAAAATAAAAATGTTACTGATATTGCTTAGTTTTAACGGAATGGAAAAGTGCAAATTAAAGCGCTAAATATCCTTATATATATGATAAAATGACCAGTTTCGAATACAGTGTGGGGATTTTTGGTAAATCAGGTTTGTCCAGTGTAGTTGTATTACTTGCGGGAGCTGCGTTATTTCCGGTTAACTCTTTCTGGAGTTGCAGGATCCACCAGAATCTTTCACTCGTGCTAATTTCATACGCAATTTTAGAAATTCAATCCAAGGCTCGAAGATAAATCTGGCAACTTATTTCATAAATTTCATATGATGAGTGAAAGATTATGTTCATGTAATATTAGTTTGAAGAATCAGATACATGTTTTAAGTTTGGTTATTGTCGCAGGTCGAAAATTGTGAAAACTATAAAACAATTTCTAGGGAAATTCCCTTAATTTATCCTAAAGTTTTAACTTAAAAACTAAAAAAATATTGCCGTTGATTTTTAACGACAAAGGGTCTGACATGGAAAAAGCGTCTAGTCGTTCGGATGGGACAATGAACTGAGGCCCCGTGAGCTACAGGCTGTGCACGCTAAAGTTTCCTCGACAGTTGGAAAGCGAATAGGAGCCGGCAAATGCCGCTGTTCTGGCAAAATTTCCCTCATTGTACCCTGCATGGGGTTGCCCGTCTTCATTAGCCCACATGGTGCAGAAAAGTAGGATGTAAAAGTTTTACTAAATCTCCATTCATTTCATTCATTTTTAACGCCAAAGCTATTTAAAAAGGTTTATGTAAACGTTTAAAGTTCGTTTTGCTTTTTGGGAAGTTTTAGAAAAACTATTGTGCGGATTTAAGCAAAATAAACGCCTTAATCTGGAGTTACCTGCGT